TGCTTAGGTACCTACTTATATTATATCTGTTGTCGCTTTCACGTCAAATCAACCAAATATAAAATTCAGGTAAAAAAAATACACAAGAAGCGTTTTTTTTTCTCTGCGATTATTGCACGACCATAGTCAAGCAAGGGACTTGCGATCCGGCTCAAGTATATGACAGCACCTGCAGAGGCCAAAAAATATACTAATCGGACAAAAAAGGGAAGTGTGGACGTCCACGTCCCGCTAGAGCAAGACCTACTTTAAACGCGCTACTGACTTGCCTGCCGCAGGGACAATCTAGGGTGCACGGGCCGTCGGCCCAATATCGGCTTGTCTCTACACACATGCCTGCTATTCAGTGTTGCCAACTCTACGTCTTTTTACGTAGATCTACGTATTTTAGGCCTTTCCTGCAAACCTACTAACTTCAGTTACAGAATCTACGTATTTTCTTCAATTTTCTCAAATTTGTAAAATAACTTAATTCACTAGAATAAAGAAGAATATTTTCCGTTACTTTACTTAAAAACTATACAAATGTTTATTTCTCATAAAGATGTATCTAAAAACTCTTGTTTCTTGTAGAAAAGGTTCCCGTTATTGGATTTGTTGACTAAATTAATGCTGGACGCAGGATTTGTGAAAGCAGAAACTACAAAACTCTTTGATATAGTAGGTACATTCATAACCTTAAAATGATTATTTTTAAACTTTAAATCTTATTCAATGAGTACTTGCATTGAATTGATCTTGGCAAAAAGAAATGACTTTCAGTCGGTAAAGTTACAGGATTTAGCAAGTTTTTAAACGATTGTGTTCATCTGTAAGTATGTTTATTTCTCTTGGCAATTTAAACCACAACTTTTCTAGAGTCTTTTACCAAGTGTATCATGATAACTACTATATTTTTCATGTGATCTATTAAAAATCATGGTTTTGTAATATTAACTCAGAAAGTTTATTTCCTACGTGCTTGCGAGTGTTTGTTTACAAATGTTTTGACGTCATAGTATAGATAAGTCTATAGATAAATAGCGTTTTTGTATGTCTTCTAGGTAAAAAAAAAATACATTTTTTTCGGTCTGATAGAACAATTATTAACAATTTAAAACATAATTGCAAAAAGTGTCAACTAGCCTATTTAACAACATTGCATCCTTGTCATTCTCTATACAGAATGAAAAGAAGAGACTGATGTTAAATTTAGTTTTAAATTTAGAGAATCATGCCAGAATTGATACCTACCAGTGTCTGTGTCTGATGGTAAATGTCTACCACAGCATGGTTAATGCTTCCAATGCAGCGACTTCTCCAAGAACTCTTTGTTCTATCTCCCGTTTTTAAATAAATTGTCCAAATACTCGTTTTATTCGGTTTCTCCTAACTTCTTCATTTCACTCAGAAAGAAGTACGTAGATCTATGTACTTTTCATATGCAAATTTTACCAATTCTACGTAATTTTCTCATCGGGCCTACGCCTTTTTCAAAATCCGAGTTGGCAACACTGCTGCTATTCAGTGTTCGAGCGTATGTTGAGCTAAACACACGCGTTGATGATGGTCCCAGTGTTATCAAAAAATATGTTACCGTAAAAAAGGAAATACTGGGTGAAGAATTGGCAACAGAAAGAAATGTATTGTAAATAAGTAATGTTTATGATTATAAAAAAATCCACGCGGACCTGGCAGCAGGCAGGACTCGAACCCACACCCTTCGCTATCCGGGCGAATGCACTGATCAATTATGCTACCGCGACCCTGACAGCCGTTTCGAATTCTTTCTAGCCTTTCTTAAGCTGCAAGGCAGTGCCATCTCTTCGCATTATATGTAACCCACAATGTCCAATGAATAAATACTTTTACAGGTATTAAACATTTAAAAGAAGAAATAGCAATTAAAGTCATAATTTTAATTTTTTAAGCATGTAACTGCTCAATGTTTGAATCTAAAGAAAAGATTAAAAGAAAAAATTAATAAAAGAACTATTTCTATTTTTCTAGTAATATTTTCTTTAGATTTCAACATCGATACTTAAAAAATGAAAATTAATTAAAAAAATAAATATAAATAATGTTTGTTTTTTATCCCACATGTGGGGCCGGTATTTATATACTTCGATCACTCGTGTCCAAACTTCATGCTCATTATGATCTGCCGCCATTTTGATCGAATTACGTGCGCTGCGTGTGACAGCTACTAACCGACTGATTGAGAAATTGGCCCAATCGCGCTACACACGCGACAACGTGCAGGGCGGTTGGGACAATCTAGTGAGCAAGGGTGGTCGCGCGCTCCTTCCGCCCTGCCGCAGGCCCGATTTAGAAAATTGTCCCAATTTGCCTACACACATCACAATTCAGGAGGCAATTTAGGGTCATCCCCGCTCTTACACCCTAGATTGTCCCTGCGGCAGGCAAGTCAGTAGGCGCTTTTAATTATAGTTAGTTGATTGTTGATCTTATTGTGTCGTAATAAATTAATAATTGTTTTTTATGTCAATTAAAATGTTGTTTCACTTAGGTAAACTGTTGTATGAGATAAAAATATGGCAGCTTTGTTTAAAAAAAAATGATGTAATAGATTTATTGTGAGGTGGTTATTATTATCAGTTTTAAATAAATAGCGATGCATCACGAACTTAAATTGTTACTAATATAACAATATTTTGAGATGACTATTTTGCAGTGCAATAAGTATTTTTGCTTAGGATTGGGAATTATTTTTTATACAAAACGTCATTTTTTTGCTTTGCACTTAATAATACGTTTCTGAAGGGGTGTTCAGTATATTTTATTATTTTTATATATTTTTAATAAACTTATTTTTTTATTAAAGCCTATATTCTACTAGTATCAACTGAGAGACAGCTTTTTACTAAAGGGCGTATCTGAGCAAGCGAAGTGTGGTAGAAATTTAATTTGAAATACATTGAGCTGGTTTGAGTTAATTGTTTTTATTTCGAAGAGGTGTCGCATTTCCCAGACATAAAAAGGCTTTCTATAATCCAACTCGTATCCTAGGAAAACACTTGGCTTTGAACTCTAAAAAGTTAAAAACAGAAAGTCAATCGAGTTTAGAAGCCATTAAAGAAATAAGACATTTACACTGGTCTTTCCGTTTGTGTTTACATTTCAACATCGAGGGCGGATGGCCAATCTCTACGGTTCCACATATTGGACTGTGAACTTGCACTGTGCCATTTTAATTAATTACAAGTTTTTCCTTGCGTCAGAAGATTTATAGTACCTACTTATATTCCGCATAACAATATTTCATACTAAATAAAGTGTATTTGGGAGTGAGTCGATTACAGTCAGCAACAGTTTACCACAGCAGCTGTCAAATTTTGTTGTTAAATGAACAAAAAAAAAACAAAGCAATTTGATTTAAGTTTCAAATGTTTTCATTTTATGTACAGAATCTTAATTCCTCCTTAGTTGGTACTTGTATACCTTAGGGACAATATGCATGCCAATCGCGACGCATGACGACCCCGCGCGGCCCGCGACGAGTAAGCGGCGATTTCACAACGGTGACGCAACGAGATGCATCCTACTGAGTGATTGGTTCAATAAGCATATTTTATAAATATTAAACAACTAGACAACTTACTTATTCTTTTCCCGCTATTGACTGGGATCCAAAGAAAAACAATGACTAACATTATAAAATTATTTTGGAACTCTTCTTCGTAACTTTGTTAAAGCCAATAGGAAAACATTTTATTTATTATCCGGCTCAATTACTCTCATTGGAGTCGGGATTAGATAAACATGAATCGCACTAATAGAAACCGAACTATAGCACAAACAGGCAGCATCACACCCGTTGCATCAAAACTGCGGAATGAGCTTTGAAATCCAGTCGCTTCGTTAAATATCTGATAGATTCAAGGAAATAATTGGTTTGCGTACTCGATTACCCCAAAACGATTTTGTTACTATCAAACGAATAATTGTTATCAAGTTTAGCCCTGGCACTTCATGGATATTCATTGGTTCGATACCAATAATGTGAACAACTCCACCCTTGATGTGGTTATCAAATTGTTCCATTTCATTAAATAATTTACATTTAATAAGGTTAACAGATAATTACAACACTACTATCACGATTACGTTATTGTTACACACAAACAAATAACGTGCATGGAAAACAATAAAACATTGAGTATTGATTATTTTCTGAACAATTTGAAATTTCCCTAACAATACCTTTGCGAACACCGATAATTTTAAAACACTTCTAATATTTTACAAAGCGACCATTTCATTATCTTATTAATGAACACCCTCAAAAGCACCTTACATTTATTTTTTTGTAAAACTTACACAAACGTACACGCTTTATAATAGGTGGCAGCAGACATATCAACTCGGAAAGGGATCGTCATCGTATCGACTCAAACTTCACCGATTATAAACGTTTGCTAATTAAGTATATTTATTAAATTTTTAGGATCCTACTTTTCACAGTTTTCGGCTTTCCCGTAGCATAAAGTCTGGCACTTTTAAGCAAGCACTAGGGTTGCTTTGCGTTATAACGGTTAATGGCTATCCGAAACGGTCGCCGAACAAAGGCCTACAGTAATAGTGTTGTTCCCGAGCGTTTATCAGATGGGCCGGTCACACCGCCCAAATATATGGTACGCATCGTACCTCGTTAAATATTATGTACGGTACACAATTTCACACCAAATGCTAGTCGCATCGTTGTTGTATCGAATCGATGTTGTTATATTCTGATGGCCGGTCATATGATAACTTACACAGTTTTTATTTTCATTGTCTCCATTACAAAAAAAAAAACGAAATCCTAAATAAAACACATCTGACGCCCCTAAAAATGTGTTTTTCTTTTGCTGTTGATTCAGCTCTTGCAGGATATAGCATTGTATTTTTTTTATTAAAGACTGTTAATTTTCGTCCGGTGTTCTGAATCATCCATTATAAAAAAATACCCAAAGAGATATAAGGAGCATTTTCTGATTTTTTTTTTTATATTGTTGCAGCTTTGATCGCGATCAGCCTTTTACCTTCCAAATTGGCGTGGGTCAAGTAATCAAGGGATGGGACCAGGGGTTGCTCGACATGTGTGTCGGTGAGTAAAACATGGTAATATAATAAAATAATGCTTCCACTAAGGCTCACTTGCAGTAAAGTTCTAAAATCAAATTTAAAAGCTTATCATAAGTATCTATTTTCATTTAGTCCAGGCAACGAATGCTCAAAATCAGGTATAGAGGGAAATGCTTGGAACACAATTTTTGACTTCGTAACTTTGTTAGGACTAGTTAGGAGGTAAACATATCAAAAGTCCCCACCCGTAGTCCTTAACCCGGGGGGAAGGGGGGGGGGGGATTGAAGGTCCCATTTTTAGGTTTTTCGCATATATCTTGGAAACTATGCATCCTAGCGACATGAGACTTTGACAAAAGTGAAAGCTGATTGAATTTGCTACAAGTCTTATTCAGTCAAGTTTTTTGATATCTTGTATAGTTTTCGAGATATCCGCTCTTGAAAGTCTGTAATTATGGAAAAAAAAATTACCACCACTTCCTGGGAATGCTGTTTTACTGCTCCCTCGGTGGGAGGAAGACAAGAGATATCAGGCTTGATGGTGGCCACTGATTTCAAGAATGATTTGTACCTGTATGCATTGAGGGAAATCTCTTTCGCTGGAGCTCCATACCACCTTAAGATGCAGGTTTCACCTGCCTTTTGTACTTGAGCGGTGGTGGAGAAAGGGTGTGAAAAGATCGCTGTTGCTTTCTGGATTTCTGGTGACTTGATAATGTCTCTGGTCTCTGGGAAGGGAGGAATTTCTCAAACCAATCGGTGAGCTTGGCAATGTCAGCTCCATCCTTGTTTTGACGGGCTTGTCCGAAATCTGCATGCTGCTCACTGGTGGAACCAACAACCCTACGGTCGGCATTGTTGAAGAGTTATCCGGTCAAATAGAGCAAAAATGTGAAGCAAATTTTTTTTTCCATAATTACAGACTTTTAAGAGCGGATATCTCGAAAACTATACAAGGTATCAAAAAACTTGACTGAATAAATACTTGTAGCAAATTTAATCAGCTTTCACTTTTGTCAAAGTCTCATGTCGCTAGGATGCATAGTTTCCGAGATATATGCGAAAAACCTAAAAATGGGACCTTCAATTTTTTCGAACGGTAATTCCAAAAAAAAATGAATATTTAGCAGGAGGGAGGCTAAAACGAGGTGGGGAAAGGGGAAAAAGTATGAAAAAAAAACGTTGCACGTACGAAAGTGTCGTTTCTGGCGCTTCGCCGGCCGCTGCCGCGGCACGCTCGCTCCGCTCGCTCGGCTCGCGCGTTTTTGGTCATCATACTAACCTAACCTAACCTAATGAACTCTTTAGACTTTATTCATTGCGGGGGGCTTCGCTCCCCGAGCCCCCCTTGCGGGGGCTGCGCCCCCCCGCCCCACTTCGGTTCTGTCACTAATAATATGAAATATAAAAAGCATAAAATTGTTTTTCGGGGAATTACCGTTCGAAGAATTGTTGTTCGACGAATTATTTTTTCGATGAATTGTGTTCGAAGAATTGTAATTCGATGAATTGTTTTCGATGATTTTTCCGGTGAGGAAGCAATTTGTGTTTTGTGGTAGTAGGCATTAAGACGTTGTTTGTCCCGGTTGCATTGCATCGCCAATTGATAGCATTCACCAATGCGCAGTTGACCAGTGTGGTGGGTCATGCCAGTTTACCCTATTCTTCCTTATAGGAAGCTGTACCCCAGCAATGGGCATATTAATGGTGATGATGAGTTAAGTTGATATACTTATTTGAATGCGAGTTAAATGTAAATCAAAACATACAATAAAATCTATAGACCAAAACACGCAAGGGGCATGGATGGCAGGACTGATTTTAAATTTTGGGTTTTATTTTATTTTCTACTTAACAAAAAGCATGTTTTTATTTTTTAAAAACTTGAACAAGAGCTGGAGAAAAAATATCAGAGAAACATTTGTCACAACTATTATATAATTATACTATTTTAAGGCTCAAAATTGTAGTCAAGGCCATACTTACTCACCAAAGAAAAAGTCAATTAACTTTTAAGTTTGAAAATTAACAAACTTTCTATGCGATAACGCGACAATAATATATTGAGACCACGTGCGACTTCATGAGTTTAATTCTTTGAGTAAGAGCGTCTATTTAAAACAGTGATTAAGAAGTGAGTACAAAAGTTTAAGTACGAACAGCACCACAGAATAAATAACAGTTTTTGAAAATGTACCGTACCTATCTTCGGTATGTTTACGAAACGTGCCCCGCGCCTCACAGAGCAAGATTGTGGTGGCTCATATAGTTAAATATTTAAACACCTCCCCCAGGCGCACATCAAGATGATGCTGGATATTGGAATGTCTCAATATACAAATGTTTGTATGCAACGGCAAATGAGGTTTTGAAACGTTTAAACTTTTCTTTAAAATACTCGTTCATTCATCTGAATGAAACATCAACTAAACTAAGGTCCAAGCACAAATTTTGACAGCTCCGTAATCGTATCGCCTCAACACGTCAAAGTTTCTATGAAAACGAAGCAGCGCCCCCTACCGAACGTAAGAACAAACTGGCTCCTTACATACAAAATTTTATGATGACGAGATGTGATAACTGAGCCGTCAAAATTCATGTTTGGTCCTCTGATAACTAGCGAATGCCCGGGCTGTGCTACTACAAAAAAGAGGAGGTACATATTATCATAGTAATATCAACAGCCAATGGACGATCTACTAGTGGGCATGGGCCTCCTCTGGGGATTTCCACATACAACAGTCTTACGTTTTACTACACTGTTGTGTGTTGTCTTCTGTAACACTGGGTTACTTCCCTACACAGACGCTGCAATTCAAGCGGGGTATGCATAATGCCCTATCGTTCTTATTCATTCTTTATTTATATCTTTATGAAGACTAATTTTCGTAAAAAATATAAACCTACCTATAATAATATATACCATAACATTGTGATAAATATATATGTTACTGTAAAAGCCCGAACTACGGTTAATCCTAAGGTAATCCAGTAAAACCTAAGATCCACTAACTTTTAATGGTAAAAGACCGAACAGTTTTGCAATACGATTTTTATGAACTATTCACTTGGTAAATATTAGACTTTACACCAAAGGTACGACAAATTTTAAAAAAAGACATTCCACAATCCGCGCTTCCCGCACCGTCTCCGCTCCCCTCAGACGATCGTTTGAACATGCACGTTAATTTGACTTCTGTTTGTGTTTTTGATGTCGAAAAGTGATTTGAGACCATAAGAATAAGACGCGCACTATCAAAAAATTACCAGTCGAGTTAAAAACTTGGCTCTACATGAGATCTGATAACTTTTTGATAGTTGAGTTATTCGAGGTCTCGTATTGGCAACACTTTACATGAACATATATTTGGTGGGATTGTCTCATTCCCAAAACCAACATTTACCAGCCGTCAGTGGTAAAACCGCCTAGCATGTACTAAATTCAAATGGTAAACGCCAGAAGAAATCGCCATTTGTTATAAATCCTTACAATTACCAACTCATGTCGGTAAATCGTAAGATTTACTGGTAAAACTTATAATTGACCAATATACGGGCTTTTACAGTAACATACATATATGTATATATATTTATGTATTAAATGAAATATATTTAAGAATCCGACCTAATATAGGTAGTAATAAGTCTTTGTATTTAGATTAAATAAAAAATCCTATTACTCGGTTGGAACTATCTGATGGAATAGATTGCGGTTGGCGTAGTTAATATTCTTTGTGCACAGATTTTTAATATTATGAATCCTTAGATGGGTCGAGAAATAAACCATTACGTAGATTTAAAAGTTAATAAAATTCTATATTACTTAAGTAAATAAAATATCGGTAAATAAAAGAGCTTGTGCTATGAATGATAGCAGATAAGAACCCTAAATACTTACATAAATCTACTCATCAATAGATGGGAGGTATCTCAGTTGCAGCAGGAACATTTAAAATGTTTCATTTATACATTCTCCAAGGCTACTATACTATTATTTGAATGCTACATGTCATCAATTTTAATGTGAGAGGAAAAATCTCTATACTTATTAATACCTTAAAGGCTGATTTACACTTCAGTAAGTACAATAGCGAGTTAACTTACGGTTTTGGCGAGTTGAGTTCTCATCATCGTTTAGAAAGGGATTTGCCAATTAAGTACTTACTGCTTAACTGTGCGATTTAAACTCGCTACTGTACTTACGAAAATGTAAATCAGCCTTAACGTGACTCTAACTGAAATGTAAACATGTAAATTTCAGGTGAAAAACGAAAACTAACCATCCCTTCATCGCTCGGCTACGGCGAACGCGGGGCCGGCAACGTGATCCCACCCCACGCCACACTTCACTTCGAGGTCGAGCTCATCAACATCGGCGACTCGCCCCCAAGCAGCAACGTGTTCAAAGAAATCGACGCTGACAAGGACAACATGCTCTCCCGCGAAGAAGTGAGTATCGAGCTAGCGTTCCTTGCGATGGACAAAGACAAGGACAACGAACTGTCCCGCGAAGAGGTTAGTTTACTCACACCGTGTTCACGTCGGTGTTGGGATTTTAGACGCGACGCGGTGGCTGTATCCGGCTGTAGCTGTATGTATGGATGGCTATGAGGTCTTTGCTTCTTACAATTTATAACTCTGCTTTCCGAGACATAACAATTGGCAGTATGTTACCTTTGCCCGTCCCAAACGAAAGACAAAATTCTAGCAACACAAGTCTTTCTTGACTGTTCATGAACACCTTTTTCGAGATAGCCAAGACAGTCGCATTTTCAGGCCCCTCTTTCCGAGTGGGCACTTTGGGCAAGTGCCCAGGGCCCCGCGATCGATAGGGGCCCCCCTCAGATCAAATACAAAGTCCCTAGTCCAGTAAAATCACCAAACGGGGGTCATAGGGGCTCCATTGTCCTAATATGCCCAGAGCCTCCAATAGGTCAGAGACGGCACTGCGCATTTTAGTTCATTCAGTTGCCGCAAATCGTTCGTCCCTGTCACACGTATCATTGCGACATATGACCCGTCCAGTCGTCAATTCCGAGACAAAATATAAGATTAGGAATATTCTAAACAGCTTTATGTTAAGCAAATACCCTATTGCATGTTCAGATTAATACAAGTTTGAAGTTTTATTTAAAATAATAATACACTCTTGCCAGTTCAATTTGATAAAATATGTTATTAACAACGAAATTATTTTAAAATGATACTTATTATAGCCCCCGATTTACTTGAGATAATCTTATACTGCTTGTTTTTATTCTGCACTTGGGAGTTTAAAGATTAATACTACCTTTTAAGCAAAACATAACATCAATGTTACGTACTTCCTAATATCAATATTAAATATCATAGATGAATGATTCATTCAGAACTTCACGAAGCGAGACCAATCATTCATCTATGTTAAATATAATAATACACACGCTTTTGCAAAAAAAAACGGGCACCTAAAGAAATTTACGTTGTCGAATTCAGTTATTAAAATTAAATTTAATTGTTTAACGTAGTCTGTATACTAATAAATTATAAACGTGTAAATTAATACGCGTGAAGTGAAATCTGGCATTTTTTCAAATTAATTTTAGATTAATTCCGAATAAATAAACCGATGTACACGGCCAAAAAATAAAAAGTAGTCGGCAATAAAGATAATAAACTTTTTTTACGTTTTTAATGAAATAAAGTTAAAAGTATAAAAACCTAATAAAAAGTGTGACCTCTTGCCCAAATACACAGCTAAAATCCTTCTGGACATGCTTCACGTTTTGACGAATACTTTCCCACCATGTTTTCACTCTACTGCAATGACTCTTTTAAGTTCCCTGATGTTTTGTGGAGCAGGTTGCACTGATCTTACCCGTCTCTTTAGAACATCCCAGACTTGTTCAATGGGATTGAGGTCAGGACTTCGAGCTGGCGAATCTAACTGAAGGCCCGCAAGTTCTTGGATGTTAGAGTTAAAATGTATTAAAGTAGTGGTCCCATTACGCAAAGAAGATGTCGCCCAAGTTTGGGATTGGACGTCATAAAGCATGTAGAAAAAGTAAACCCATAATACGCGCTACAACTATAAAATGTTCCCCCAAACAACCAACCATGACCATGGATAGACATTCGCCATGCATGGAAGCCTGTGACCTAAAAAACAGATCAATAATCGCACATGACAAAATAAAAAAACACTTAACAGAAGGGAAATCAGTAACAAAAGAAAGCAAAAAAGAAATTAAAGAACAGGCAGTAGAATTATTCAAGGAATTAAGCAGTTGAGAGCAAGAGTTAGAAGAGGAACAAAAGAAGAGAAGTGTAAAATGAAAACGAGAAGTGATAGAAGAAAGGCAGCAAACAAGCGAGAGTACAGAAAGGCAAGATATAAAAGGAGTAAAGGCAGCACTACAAATAATAGCGAAGCAGAATGAGGAGAGGAAGAACGAAGAATGCAAGAGGATTGACGAAATGAGATTAGTATGAAAGAGCAGATGGAAGAAACAAGCGAAGGGAAAAAGAATGGATGAAGAAAATGGAAGAACAATGTAAAAAATATAAACAAGTAATACAAGCGATAGAAATAAAGAGAGAGAGAGCATGAGAGAAAGGGTACATTCCTATAATATAGTACAATACTGGTAGAGAAAGATATTGAGAGTAATGAAGACTAGAAAATGTAAACATTAGTTAAATATAAGTAACGTATAAATATTACCTCACAAAGAGATATAGAAAAATAGTCAAATAGAAATAAGATGTCAAGGTAAGAAAGATGAAATAAATATTGTATAAAACAGTATTAAGAAAGCAAAATTGTAAAATAGACTTATAAGATATTTAAACAAAATGAAAGATTGTAAAATATTAAGAGAAAATGTAAAAAATGTTGGAAGAAAATAATAATAATAAAGCGAATAAACCATAATGTGGTGCAAAAGAAAAAGCGCCCAGTGAGGAATAACACTAAAGAAAGAAAAAATACCTGTTAAAAAAAGGGGGTAGCCACTTAAAAAAACTTTTTGCATGTATGCTTCCACGTCGCCTCGCCAAAACGGTGCGGGCGAACATTGTTGTCAATAAAAATGGAATCTTCCTCAAGTGCAGTCAATGCTGCTTGTGCATATGGACTTCCGTTATGAACTGCGTACGCTTGGTCAAATTAATTGTTGCCTAAAACATAACGGAACCTCCGCCATAAGGAGTAATTTCTTCGAAACATACTTCTGCATAACTTTCCCGTGGTATTTGCAGCACTTGCCGGCGTCGGTCCTTTTCACCCAAAGAGATTCTAGCTTCATGAGAAAATAATACTTTATCCCAGTCCTCCGGTCCAGTCCATGAAGCACAGTTTCGAGCTAATACGGTGCTCACGGAGTAATTTAGGGCCCCGGGCCGGGTGGAAAATCCTAAAATCGGTAGCCAAAAGCCTCTTGATCGTTCCGTAAAGACCTGACTTACCAAAAAGCGGTCATTTCTTGGTACTTGCAACGTTTTGTTCCCGAACAGGGTCTTCTTTTGACCGAACCGGTATCTTGATACCGTTGCCAAGTCCTCTGGACAGTTAAATGACTTACAGGCAAGTTTGCGAACAATTTTTTTTAAGTAGGGCTATAATAATAGGGGCTCTTAAAGGTTTATACCAGCAATACAAGGTCAACCGCATAGCCTATCACTTGATTTTGACCATTCAACCGCACTCCGCCGTCCAGTGTTAGCACTTTTCGTAGAACACAATTATTCAAGTGTTAGATTGAACAACATGGGTGACAACACGGGACAAAGAAAAACAGAGTACATTCACATGCGCCGCTATAAAAATTCCAAAGCGCCTAGAGAAAACCTGAAGGTAACAGACGTTACCTACAAGGGATTGGAAAAGTTTAAATATCCAGGCTGCACTTTAACCGAAGCTAATACTAGCGAAGAAGATATAAACTTCCGAGTTCAAAGTGCTCTTCATTGTAGTGCAGCTTTACTTAAGGTACTGGTCTCCAGGCTTCTTAGCAGGCGAACTAAGATACGCATTTATAAAACTACGGTTGTGAGGCCTGGACACTGACTCTAAAAAGAAGAAGGAAAGCTCTTGATAACGGAAAGAAAGGTGCTGAAAATGATTCTAGGTCCGATTCGCACGCGGAAATATGGAGAATGAGGAAAATACGGATATTGAAAATCTAATGGCCGTGCCCAATATCATTGGCGAAATAAAAGCACATAAACTACGCTGGCTCTGTCATGTGGAGAGAATGGGGAATGATCGAGCGGTCCGCACCTTCGCTACGCCACTGTTTCACTACACATATTGTAAATAACTACTTTCCTTCTTGTAAATAAATAACTATTATTTTTTAATTACCTTTATTTGACTTTATCGGCGCTTTTCGCTTGTAGGTAATAGAAAATCAAATTTAACTGTTGCATGATCTCTAAAATGTAAAAGTATTATGTAACATAAAACAAAACTATTTCTAGTAGCAATTGTACATTTTGTTTTATTTAAAAACAATTTTAGATGAATATTCTTAAAAAACCGACCCGCCGATTTGAGAACCTCCTCCTTTTTGAATCGGTTAAAAATAAAATGCATGCCATTGACTAAACATAACTTGAATCCTAGTTAAGTTGAAGTCTATTTATGTCAAATAACAAAAACAACACAAAAATATTATAAAAAAAGAGAGTACGCATAGTGAGTAACTCACTCATGTTTTCATTGTCAACAGGTGAGCGACTACCTCAAGAAGCAGATGGTTCCCCCAGACGGTGCTGAGATGAGCGAAGATGTCAAGCAGATGCTAGAGAGCCACGACAAGCTCGTCGAAGAGATCTTCCAACACGAGGACAAGGACAAGAACGGCTTCATCAGCCACGAAGAGTTCTCTGGCCCGAAGCATGACGAGCTGTAAACAATTTAACCACCACTCTTGGTACAATAGCGATGCAACGCAAACGAACCAAAAATGACGATGCAGCACTCTGTGGTTAGGAAACTAAAGAAAAAGTATACCAATTCCTAACCTTTTGGTTATAAATACGAAACTTTTGGTGTGATTTTTAATTGATTTCTCGGTGCTATTTTTAAAGGTTACTTAATGCACACGTGTTATTATTTTGAAAATGCTCAACAGGCGGGCTAGGATTTTAATAAAATATATTTAACTTGGTAGAATCAAAGGAAAATACGAAGAACTCAATAGAACTGTGCAACCTATCTGTTCGTGCAGTGACGACTACCAACAAACGCCATCTGTCGAGTTCGTATATTTATATTATAGTAATAATACATGTCAAACCACATATTTAGACGTCTCCGAAAGTTTTAACTAAATAGTGCTGTAATCATATTCTTGCTTCAATAACAATTTACAATAATGCCGTGTAAGAGGGCATACTTAGTTCCCCAACCATAATTGATAAAGCGGAAATGTTTACAAGAAGTTCCCAATATGTTGTTTATTTTCTACAACCGTCCCATTTCCATAGACGAGGAAAACATAAGTACGTCTTTAACCATTTAAATAAAATGACACATATAAAATAGTTATTTAATATGCTAATGTAGACTGAGTTTGAGCATTTCGGAATCATCCGGAACTTACGGATATGTAAGCAAATATGCCCTAAGATTTGCGTTGCATCATCTAGGTAGCTTTTCTTCTGTTCTCTCTTCTGTTCCCTTTCCATCAGTCTCTCTTGCTATAATAAATAACATGTGAGTCATTTTTGTTGTCTTTTGTACTTATTTTACCTATGTTGTTGGTATCTTTGAATTCGTTAAGTATATTTAGGTACATATTAATATAATGAAATTTAGCTAGTAATGACTTTTTCAGCGTAAATTAATTTATATTATGCTACTGTTACTTGTCGGTGCTGTGTAAATACGATGGCACGAAAGAGTACCTACTTGTCAATTAAAATAATATACAGCTGACAGACTTTTTACTTTGAAATAGCATAACACAAAACCTTGTCTGGATTTGTCTACAATGTTTAAATAACAATAGTTTGAAGTCCACGTAAACGTCTTGATGCCTAATAACTACAATATTATAAGTTTATAGGAACAAGGTTTGATAAATGTGACCAAAAGATGTAGAATTTTTTGAGGGTATTCACTATAATAGTGAGTATGATATTACATTATTTTTGAGTAATTAGTATAACTAGTTTACATACAATATTATAAAGTTAGTTACAATACATACTAAGGTAGATACTGCAAGATTGTGTCAAAATCTGGTAATAAGTAAATCAAACATTTGGATAACGATTTTCTAAATAAAATATTCATCATCAATAATCGTCAGAATAAAACTGTATTCAGTGTTGTTAGTCCATTCCACTGTATTTAACGAAATAAAAAATATTTATAACCGTGAGAATTTTATTTGTACATTGCACATTTAGGTTTACATTCTATATATCATTAATGCTCCCACATGCAAAATTAAGTTAAGTATTTTAAAAATACGGTGTATAAGTCGTAACATAATTTGATATATCGAATTTTCGCGAAAATCCTAGGAATTTGAGAAAACATACATGGATATTCGACAATGGCGACGTCATTGCTTAATCTTACTCAAAAAGATAAGAATTAAGACAGTGAGATTATGAAAAGAATTGTAGACTTATTCCCCCTTATTAATAAATCAAGAATAAACTTGGATTAGTTAATCCATGTTTTGTCTCTGTTCATTGAATGCCAAATGGCATTTGAGTGACATGAACAAAACACGGCGTAACTAGTCTAAGCTTATTCCTTGTTATAAAGCCATTTCGCCTTACCCCCAAAACTTACTCGAAAGCCCCCAAAATTCAGGTTTAAAAAAAACCCAATATGCAAAATATTTATTTAAAATACATAATATGTATTTCTGTAATAGCATCCATTACAGGATCCACATCTTTGCACTCCTTTCTAAATCTTGTAACTTAACTTTGTTTTGATGATGCCATTATCTTACCAAGGTGCAAGCAATTAAAAGGACAAATTACGATTTAGCAGAGCAAAGATGATAACTAGTGTCGAATCGATTTGCAGTTTAAGCTAAAGACCATTAACGACTGGCTTACTTGCTTGACTTGACATGGATATGACTGAGCAAGACGGAATGGACTGAAGAGTACTTTTTAAGTGGGCTTTGGACTTAGGGGTCCGAATCGGGCTCACTGAATGAATACAGTTCAGTGAGCCCGATACTGGCATGATTATCTAAGCATAATAAATTTAAAGGACATTGACGAAATTGGCCCTAGCATGCCCAAAAGAATATCCTTCACTATTATTTTTCTATTATTTTTTTAACTTATTAGCAATTAATCATAGTTAACGGACAAGCTGTTTAAAAAAATAAAATATAAAAGTTCTGTTACTAGATAAGTACTACAGTATGTTCATCCAACTTGTCCTATTTGGTAAACAACATGGCACTCCTTTTTATTGAAAATACAGCATTAAAAATCAACTGATAACTGGATTCAATAGGTTTCAGTCTATAATAACGATATATTTTAATAGTTTATTGACTTGTTTATATTTTATTTTTAAATGGGTGATTTTGTTAAAAAGTTGTGCCAAGATTGTTTACCTTAATAAATGCAATATAGGCGACCAAAGGTATTTGTCAACATAAAAAGCATAAAAATAGAATTTAGTTAATCATTATTATTACTAATATTTATAAAAAGATTATTTCTGAAATTATGTTAAGATAGTTTATACTCCCATTCCATGTAATATCTGTTTATTTTTATGAAAATCATAATGATAACCAGGTACATACCTAATTAGCGATAGTAAAATATAGAAACAGGTAAATGGAAAGACTTTGAACATTTCATTTGAAAAGAAATCTATTATTACAACAGGTAGGTATAGGTATCATAGGTGCAAACTGCCAGCACTCATTATCAATATGAATATAAGCATTTATTATTTTTATTATTAATGGCATTTTATGTTCATTTAATGAATATTATTTAAGTGCTTACATAGAGGTAAACACTAAACCTATTCAGAATATACAGGGTGAAATTGAATGTTTCTATGAAACTTCGTGAGATTGATGGGTTACATGTATAGAGTATGCCTGATTTTTTTCGGATTTTTTAAAATATTTTTTTTCGTTTTTTAATTTTTTATTTGGTTATTTTTTTGTCATTTCTTCCTTATGAGTAATTATTCATTTTAAACACGTCTACATAGAAGTTATAAAGCAACTTAAAATAAGCACTAATAAAAAAACGGAAACTTAATGAATGCCTTCATTATGCCTACAGTCGAGATCAGCGCCGGTCGGGGCGACGACCGGCGGCCGCCTGTAGGTACCTAGCTACACGCACAGATGACTCGGCGCTTACCTACTCGCTTTGATCCACACTATTTAAAAACAATACAATAAAATAGTCTTAGATGCTATATTATAATTATTTATTCACTGATACACAATACCTTTGAATATTATTTCATAAAGCACAGGTAATTAATCAATAATATAAATCTTCTTAAAATTAAGAGCAAATCGGTATAACTTACGAGCTTAGGGAAGGAAGGAACTCTTCGTGTCTGATTTGCCCACGTCATGAAATTCCGAACACATTTAATCACAGCCACAGTCACACATACACACACACACACACACATAATAATATGTTGTTTTGCGGCAAGCACGGGCGGGCGGCGCGCCGCACGCTGGCAACTAGCGCCGGTTGCGGCGTCTTTGATGATGTGAATTCCGCCCACCTCCCCTCTTCCCCGCACGCGGACGTTTGCTTTGATTGCATGCAAAACGCAGTCGCAAGTATATCAATCGCGCGTGAGCGTGCGCATCTTTTGACTTGGTGACATACACTGTGATAATTTCATTATGCCTCGGTATACAAACCAAGAATATTTAGAGATGATGTACTGCTATCGCGAGTGTGACGAAGTAGGTTTGGTTTACGAATGAGTCCCTAAACCATAGAAGTTGCATTTTGTGCAGTGAGTAGTGATAGGGACACTTTAAAAAAGGTGAAAAGACACGTCCGCAAACAGGCAACCTTTGTTTGCAGCAAAATGGTGGTTTAGAGCAACAATTTTGCAGATAATAATTTAAGTCTCTTTTTATTGCTAGTGTAAATACTTTTTGATTAGAAACAACTAATTGTGTACTACCAGTGTGATTGATTTGATAAAAAGTTCTAGTGAAAAAAATGAATATGTTCCTCGTTCCTCGTTGTACCTACCTAAATCGCCGGTCTCGTAAGTACTTTTGAATACCTGGTTATAAATTTCATTCTTGGGGTATTAAGCAATAAGTATTTCTTTTTGTTTAACATTTGCCTATTTCCAATCGTGACAACATTATTATTAACTTTTAAAGTTTTTCTCTGCTTAAGAAAAGATGACATTTGTGCTTATTATTTCTATTTCAATAAAGGCATCTAAGACGATTTTATTGTACCTATTGTGTGGAATCAAACGAGTCAGTTGAGCTCTGGTTAGAGTTAGGTAGCTACTTACTCAACGGCTGGCGGGCGCGGTCGGTCGTTGACCCGCGGTGGAATTTCAATGTTTTTCCGTTTTTTAGAAGTGCTTATTTATTAGTTGTTTTTCACTGGATATGTAAGTTTGTTTGTTTAAAATGAATAACTACTCAAAACGAGGAAAGGACATAAAAATACACAAATTATAAATAAATACATGAAAATAATATACTTCAAAAAATCCGAAAAAAGACAGGCATACTCTATACACATAACCCAACAATCTCACGAAGTTTCATAGAAACATTCAATTTCACCCTATATAAAGTGTACATCTTTGACGATTAAGTATAATAATTATAACCTCAAAATCTAATACATTCTGTAGTAGGCCATGGTTCCTCAAGTTGTCCGTATCTCAACAAATGCCTAATTAAAGTTTATGAATGATTCCGAACACAACTAGCATTTTCTCATTGCTGTGCGTTCTAGGGCATTCAATGTATGGGGAACGAGCAATGTCCTTTGACAACAGTCTTATCCTTGTCAGCTCTATACAAAATGAGAAAGAGAGATGTTGATTGACTGTTGATCGCGACTTTTTACAGATTATCCTCCTTAATAATAAACGCGGAATAAGCTTTGACTAGTTACACCGTGTTTTGTTCCTTTCACTCAAATGCCATTCGTCATTCAATGAACAGAGACAAAACATGAAGTCACAAATCCAAGCTTATTGTTCGTTTATTAATAAGGGGGTAAAAGTTTATGAAGTGGTTTTATTTTTATGTAAAAAATGTAATTAAAGTGATGTTACGGAGCTTCGACTCCGATTCCGATAAGGCGGAACATCGGAAAAATCGGAAGATTATTATTACGCCTTTGGTTCCGACTTCGGGTCCGAAACTTTTAAATCGGAGGATTTAATCGGAGGTCGAAGCATAGCAAATAACGACGGCGTGGCGGCCTGCGTCGACCGTTACGAACTGGATCATACCCGTCGCGTTGGGAGTCAATGTTAATAATAAGGAAATTTAAATGAAAAAAGGTTAATTTGTAATTAAAATAAAAAAGGTTGACTAAATGATGTTTTCATTTGTTCATAAATGAAAAATATCCCTCTTCTGACCACTGCTGACCACTGCTGACTCTGCCGCTGACCCCGACTCTGCCCCCGGCTCCGGTTCCGACTTCGATAAATCAAATTTAAAAACTCCGACTCCGACTTCGGTTCCGATAAATTTACCTCCGTTACATCAATTTTAAAAACCCCCATTTCCCCCAAACCCTTTCTTCCCCTATTAATCCCCACAAAAATATTTTCTTCCGAATTAGCCGACCGTGTCGCTTTCAAAACCCCCCAAATTTAGGGGTTACGAACCTTGCATGCTTCACATCATTTTAGTTTTATATTACATCCGTCTTCTGTTCAGATCCGTGTTTACACATCCATCCAAAATAATTATTCAAGACTAATTCTTCTTTTACTATTTTTGAATTAAAAAGCAAACTTAAATTTACAAAACAATCGACACCGGGTTTCGATGGCATTCCGTATGCTTTTAACAGTGACGATATTGTAATATATTATTTACAGTTGATAAACTCTTTTTTATAGAAAGACAGGTACTCAAGCAGGTACTGTGCCATCCTCATGGCAATGTCAAACAGTGTTACCAGTTAATAAACCGAACAAAGATAACTTAGAATTTAAACTAGCAAACCAGTGAACCAAATGTTCACCAAAAAAAATGTATTTAATTAATTGAGAACTTCGGAGATTTTGTGTGGTTTCGTTTGAAATTCGTGATTTCTCGAAAACCGGAAGTGCTACGTTACTCAAATCCGGTTTGTAGTCTTATCAGACTATTCTTAACTTATAACTTAAACATTCTCTTTATCTATCTCTTACGGTTTGGCCGCTGAAACAGCACAACAGACAGACGGACGGACGGACGGACGGACTTGTCTAATAGATAAGAGATAATAATAAATTATATAGTTATACCCACCTAGATATTTAGTTTTAATTATTTGTAAATTTAATATTCATATTCTATGTAAATTTCATTCTTCCTACTCCCCGCCTTTCTCTTTAGTATTCCGTATCCTTTTGCTTTATAATCCTTCCGTTTTCCTAATATTTGTTATTGGGCAAAATTCTGGCGTGCCAACTTATATCTAAAACTAACTAAAATTAGATATAGAGTTGTCAAATTCAATTTGGTATTCACTAATGACAAAATTAAATTTAAAATTGACGTCGCTAAGTTATTCAACTTAGATTTAGATGAATATTTTGAAACACGTTCTAAATGTCATATTTTCTCTGAAATTAGAAATGTCACACTAAATTTAAGAAGGACCTACGGAGGTCCTCTCTAAATTTAAATGTGAATAATTGAGGCTAAATATTAGGTAAATGATTGCTGTACCTAAGTTTTGAACTTGTTGTTAAGGTTAGATATGGGCTTATTTCGTTAAAAAAGTCATACATTTTATACAATAATGAATGACGACGGTGATAATAATAAATTAGCTAGATCTTTTAATTTTTTTGAAAAGGTATGTAAGTCTATGTTACGATACGTATTTATTATAAGCCTATTAATGTGTCATGAGCCACCACGCAGGCCTAATACGGCTTGGTGGGGGCTAACGACTGCAGATGCAGCGAGCAGCAACATAGAAACTCGATATAATACATTTTTGGTTGGTCACCCATCCTAAGATCGGCCATTGTGAAAGTTACTTAACGTTCACGATCGCAGAACGAACGCGTTACACTTGCGCTTTTGTGGTACTTCGTAGGTAATGTATACATAGATCTTGTATAAAATACGAAATAATTTAAGGTAAAATCTTTTTTAACGTAAATAAAAATCCACTTCTTAGAAAACAAGCTAAAAAGGAAAGAAATCTATGTACTAATTCTTTAAGTAATACCTACAGTAATTTCTTATATTGTAAGTAACTACATAGTCAAATAATTAACAAAATAATAGGTATGGTGTCCGTGACATGCATTCCAATCAAAAATTCCAATCCAAATGTTATTTTAACTTTAAATGTAGGTGCTATATATAGACTTTAA